GGCCCTGATAGCTAAATCAAAAGGGAAACCATTTATTTCCAATTAAATTTTGTCGGAAAAGGAAAAAGAGCTTGAGAAAAGGGGGGCCCCCCACGGAAATTTTCCAAAAAAAAACCCAGGTGACCCCCCCTTTTGTGAGGAGGGGGAAACACCAGATCATGAGGGGACAGTATGTATTGGGAGAAAGGAAAAAAAACCCCGTTAAAATCCCTTTGTAGTTTTTTTTTAGACCAAACCGGGGAAAAGGCTTTAAAGGGACTGATTTTGGCCCCTAAAACGAAAAGCCGCTGCTGGGGAGACCCCTTTCCGGCCAAAAAGAATAGGGACAAAGTCCGCAATCAGACAATAGGTCAAGATCTTGATACCCAGTTCTTACAAACCCGAGTGGATCAGTCACAGTTACGATGGTTTGGACATGTATGCAGAATGGGAGAAAAACGGCCGCCATGGCAGGGAACCAGACCTCCAGGGCGACCCAGGGTGAGCTGGGAAGAAAACATCTGACAGAGGACTGGAATGGAACAAAGCCAGAAAAAAAAAAAAAAACTGCTGATAGAGATGTCTGGCGATCTCTCTGACAAACCTCTACACCCCAAGGTAGAAGACTAAGTAAAAGACGGTCAACATATTTTCTGGGATCAGCTGACAGTTAACTAAGACAGAAACAAAAACAAACATACGAGGGGAAGTCATTAAGTAAAGGCATTTGAATTTATAAGTATCTTTACGACCAGACTTAACAAAATCTTTCCGTGTCCTAGTTTTCGACAGTCTCCCTGCCTGGCCACACATGTAGTCCACCAATCCACAGGATTCTGGATGCCCACGAGGTAGAAGCTTTTGGGTGTGGCCAGGAACCAAGTTGACACCATCGACGAGACCTCATTGTCATCGGCAAATCTCTGACCCCACAAATGTTCTTCAATAGGTCAAACACATGAAAGTCCGATGGTGCCAAGTCTGGGCTGTAGGCTGGATGTTTCAATTCTTCAAACCTCAGAGTCTGTAGTGTATCCGCTGTGTGCACAGCCGTGTTGGGACAGGCGTTGTCAGACAGTGACAAAACTCCTTCCATGGTGCATGTTAACAGTGCTGCAGCCATGGGGGAAAGGGGGGGGGGGAAGGGCTGCAAATGCGCATACTGCTAAATCGTCATGCTTGAAAAAGGGCCATTCTGTGTCCTGAAATTTGTTTGTTTCAGTTTACTGTTCCATGCAGACTAGAATATATTTGTCTTTACTGGATGACGTTTCCTTGTAGAAAGCAGTAATTTGTTAAATCCGATGTCTTAATACTACAACTAACAGCTCATGAGACAAACCCCTGTGGCTGCCTTTCTAGATTAAGTAAAATTGCTAGTTGAATTGTTAGTTTAGACATTCTAAACTCAGTGGGCATCGAGATCTAGCATTAGGTACTTATGTATCGTATCGGAGCCACGTTAGCGCAGTCGATAGGAGGCTCGCTTTCAAATCCAGCTGCGACTCGCTGCAGTCACGGTCGGTGTTCGCAACCGGGCGGTTCCCGGGGTTTACCCTACCTCTAGGAAATGGGTACTAGAGTTGACACTCTGGGGTGAATGGAGGAACGAGGCTGTAGCTACAATTACGTGCGGACAGCGCCACAGGCGGACAGTTTCTTATCAGCTGTCTGTACTGGTGGCAGAGCACTTATGGTTTATAACCGCGTGCAATGACGCTGGTTCACATCTCCCGACTTTACCTTTACCTTTTTTGTGTCCAAAAAACCTCAGGTTTTTTTGTTATATGCTTCTGTATGCCCTTTCTCCTACTCTAGGTCTGATCAAGTCAAGAACCCTTTACATGCCAGTGAAGAATTAGGCATATAATCTAGACTATTTTTATAGACACCGTGATGTGTGATGTGGTTGCCTTTTCTTCCCAAGGACTTTCTCTGGGACCCATTTACGGCTGAGTCGACCTGGGATCTAAGTTCTATTTTTCATTTTAAAAATGCGACAAGGATTTGAACATAAGACCTTGGGGATGAGACCAGATCTAGTCTTTAGGGCGAGACTATATATAAACTTGAGGCCGAGACTATATATAAACTTAGGGCCGAAACTGTATATAAACTTGGGGCCGAGACTATATATAAACTTAGGGCCGAAACTGTATATAAACTTGGGGCCGAGACTATATATAAACTTAGGGCCGAAACTGTATATAAACTTGGGGCCGAGACTATATATAAACTTAGGGCCGAAACTGTATATAAACTTAGGACCGAGACTATATATAAACTTGGGGTCGAGACTATATATAAACTTAGGGCCGAAACTGTATATAAACTTGGGACCGAGACTATATATAAACTTGGGGTCGAGACTATATATAAACTTGGGGCCGAGACTATATATCAACTTGGGGACGAGACTATATACAAACTTATGAATTAATCAAGTAACAGAAAGTATTGCGAACGGCACTCATAGAAAGAAGTAGAAAGATAAATTGTTGCTGTGATTGTTATTTGACATTTGCCTCGTTAATATAAATTTCTGTAACCTATGGTGCCATTTCAATGGGTTGAATTGAATTCTGTCCGTATTCCATAGTCGTGGATTTCAAGCTGTACGATAGACATGGCCAATGAGACACCTTTTTTTGGGGGTGCCGAGTTGACCATGTATCTTAGTGCACTTGTATTCATGGCGAGGCGCAGACGCCGTCTGGAGGTGACAGGTTTAATTCCCGGCACGGTAACTATAGCTTTCGATTTTTATGTTGTCTAGTGTGTTCTTCTATCTTTCTACTTCTTTCTATGAGTGCCGTTCACAATACTTTCTGTTACTTGATTAATTCATAATATTTAACGGCCTCAAATGGTTCCCCTCTCTGTTTAATTATAGGAATGACGTATACACACCGGAACCTACCAATCAAATACCTTTCTTAAATGTTTGTGTATTCTAGACAAGGCAATAAGGTCCACTGTGTACGTAAATTGTTGCTGTGATTGTTATTTGACATTTGCCTCGTTAATATAAATTTCTGTAACCTATGGTGCCATTTCAATGGGTTGAATTGAATTCTGTCCGTATTCCATAGTCGTGGATTTCAAGCTGTACAATAGACATGGCCAATGAGACACCTTTTTTGGGGGGTGCCGAGTTGACCATGTATCTTAGTGCACTTGTATTCATGGCGAGGCGCAGACGCCGTCTGGAGGTGACAGGTTCAATTCCCGGCACGGTAACTATAGCTTTCGATTTTTATGTTGTCTAGTGTGTTCTTCTATCTTTCTACTTCTTTCTATGAGTGCCGTTCACAATACTTTCTGTTACTTGATTAATTCATAATATTTAACGGCCTCAAATGGTTCCCCTCTCTGTTTATTTATAGGAATGATATATACAAACTTGGGGGCCGAGACTATATACAAACTTGGGGCCGAGACTATAAATAAGCTTGGGGGCGAGACTATATATAAACTTGGGGCCGAGACTATATACAAACTTGGGGCCGAGACTATATATAAACTTGGGGCCGAGACTATATATAAACTTGGGGTCGAAACTGTATATAAACTTGGGGCCGAGACTACATATAAACTTAGGGCCGTGACTATATATAAACTTATGGCCGAGACTATATATAAACTTGGGGCCGAGACTATATATTATAAACTTGGGGTCGAGACTTTATATAAACTTGGGGCCGAAACTATAAACTTGGGGCCGAGACTATATATAAACCTGGAACCGAGACTATTTATAAAGTTAGGGCCGAGACTATATATAAACTTGGGGCCGAGACTTTATATAAACTTGGGGCCGAGACTATATATAAACTTGGGACTGAGACTTTATATAAACCTGGGACTGAGACTATATATAAACTTGGGGCCGAGACTATATATAAACTTGGGGCTGAGACTATATAAAAACTTGGGACTGAGACTTTATATAAACTTGGGGCCGAGAATATATATAAACTTGGGGGTCGAGACTATAAATAAACTTGAGACCTAGACTATATATAAACTTGGGGTCGAGACTATATATAAACTTGGGGCCGAGACCAGATCTAGACTGGGGCCGAGACCAGATCTAGACTTGGGACCGAGACCAGATCTAGACTTGGGGCCGAGACCAGATCTAGACTTGAGGACGAGACCAGATCTAGACTTGGGACCGAGACCAGATCTAGACTGGGGCCGAGACCAGATCTAGACTTGGGACCGAGACCAGGTCTAGACTTGGGGCCGAGACCAGATCTCGACTTGAGGACGAGACGAGATCTAGACTGGAGCCGAGACCAGATCTAGACGAGGACGAGACTAGATCTAGACTGGGGCGGAGACCAGATCTAGACTGGGGCGGAGACCAGATCTAGACTGGGGCCGAGACCAGAACTAGACTTGACTGAAATTTACACTGCATTTCAATCTCCAGGACCACCAAGGTGTTCACGATATGGAGGTAACAGCTATTAAATCTAGCCACTCCTGCGACATAGTTCGCAAGTCTCTTAAGAATCGCTTTATAAACACTTTGGGAACTCTGGCTCCCAGTGGACTAAACTGCCAACACAGCTTCATCTAAATCTTAGGGGACTGAGCTGCCTACACAGTTACCTTTTATCCTCAAGTGACGGCCCCTGGCATATCCCCAGATATAAATTTTCTCGGACCCACGTGCCTCGCCAGACAATTGTCTTGACATCGACCTGGCTGCTGCGAGATACGAAGAGAAGTGATATTGTGTATTTGAGTAGTGTGGTCTAATCTATGTATGTGCTGAAGAAGGCTCTATAGCCGCAACGTTCACGTTTTGTTTATGTTTGTTATATTGTAAAGCTCGGTGAAATACTTTTCGTTCGGTTTTATGTCTTTCCATGAAATTTACACAAACACGCCATGGATTTGACTATGAAACTGACTCAATAAACACACAATCATAAATCTTACTACCTTCTTAGTTTATTCAACCTTCACAACTTACTTTATGGGTCAAGGTTAAAGTTCAGAATTGACAACTAGCCGATATTTTTGCCCTGGAACAGGATGCTGTTGCTCTGGTTGTCTCTCAGGAAGAACACGAAGGGGTGGTCGGCCTTGAACAGTTCGATGGGCGGAAGTTGGACAGAGGGAGCTGAAACATGGATGGCGGTGGCTGCTGCCGCCACAGTTCCTGTCTCCTTGACCTCAATAACTGCCTTGTGAAGGACATCACTGATGTACACCTTGCCTGGGGTGACAGAATCATATTTGATTAACCAGTTTTATTTTTTGATGATCAGAGACTCATCCTTTTCCTGTTTTCTCCTCCTTACTGGGCTTCCAAAGCTAGTCCTTATATTTCACAGGTATGTATGGGAATTAGGTAATCTCTTCCCTCTTCTCTCTCTTTCTCTACTTTCTTCTACTTTCTGTCTCCGTCTGCCACGTAGATAATCTCTTTTCCCTCTTCCGTCTCGCTTTTTCCCCTCTACTTTCTTACTTTCTTCTACTTTCTGTCTCCGTCTGCCACGTAGATAATCTCTCTTCCCTCTTCCGTCTCGCTTTTCCCCTCTACTTTCTTACTTTCTTCTACTTTCTGTCTTTGTCTGTCATTTCCCTTACAGCCACACCAGGTGACTTACAACCAGCACTGATCCCCTCACCCCACCCCTTACAGCCACACCAGGTAACTTACAACCACCCTTTACAGCCACACCAGGTGACCTACCACCAGCACTGAACCCCTCACCCCACCCCTTACAGCCACACCAGGTAGCGTACAACCAGCACTCATCCCCTTACCCCACACCTTTCAGCCACACCAGGTGATCTACCACCCACACTGTTGCCTTAACATCCCACACCTTACAGCCACACCAGGTGACCTACCACCAACACTGATGCACTCACATCCTACACCTTACAGCCACACCAGGTGACTTACCACTAGCACTGATCCCCTGACCCCACCCCTTACAGCCACACCAGGTGACTTACCACTAGCACTGATCCCCTCACCCCATCCCTTACAGCCACACCAGATGACCTACAACCAGCACTGATCCCCTCACAACATCCCTTACAGCCACACCAGGTGACCTACCACCCACACTGTAGCCCTTACATCCTACACCTTACAGCCACACGAGGTGACTTACCACCAATACTGTTGTTCTCACACCCCACCCCTTACAGCCACACGAGGTGACTTACCACCAACACTGTTGTCCTCACACCCCACCCCTTACAGCCACACGAGGTGACTTACCACCAATACTGTTGTCCTCACACCCCACCCCTTACAGCCATACCAGGTGACTTACTACTAGCACTGATCCCCTCCAAGTTGGCCGAGCCAGCATCGAAAGCTCGGACGATCCCCAAACCCTGAAGGGCAGAATTGAGCCCAAACGTTGACTCAATCTTAAACTTGGGGACGCTCAATTTGACTCTGACAGGGCGCAGTCCTTCAAACAGTTGGTCTGCGTAACCAGGGCTGGCCAGGGAGTGTTCTGCAACAAAATGTTTCATAAGTTACCAATCGAAATAGGCAGCGGAAGAGTTCGACATGATATAACACAGCCCACGGTGCTAACTTCAACACTCTAACACAGTCCACAGTGCTAAGTTCAACACTCTAACACAGTTCACAGTGCTAAGTTCAACACTCTAACACAGTCCACGATGCTGTTGTGATGTCTGGTCAGCTCCTGTGTGGTCTGCTCTGGATTCAAGCTGTATGATTATCATGGCTGACGGTGACACCGTTAACGGCGTCGAGTGGGTATGCGTATTAGTACAGTGTCTTCTCAGACAGGCACCATCGTCACTTGGAGGTGACAGGTTCGATTCCTGGCATGGTAACTACAGCTTTTGATTGTTATATTTTTTATCGTGTACCCTTGTCTCACTACTTCTTTCTATGAGTGCCGATCAATTCTTGTCTATTAGTTTATCACCCCTAGCTAGTGTACACCCTTATAGCGATGCGATGCCTTACCAAGGGCAGTAATTCCGTCCGTCTCCTGAGGCAGGGCGATGTAGAGAGAGAATCTCCCGCCGGTGAAGGGTAACTCGGCCACGTCAACACCCTGCACGTTTCTCTTGATGAAGACATATCTTTCATCGTACATCATGTCCACCTGTAGTGGGGGGGGGGGGGGGGCGTTCTATATTAGAGCATTAGTTGGGGTTTAGGGGCGGGTGGGGGGGGAGTGGGGTAGGGTGGGGGGGGGGGGGGGGGGGGGGTAGAGCAACTGTGTCTATAGAACAATCATACATGGACATGATATTCATTTGTCAGTTTGTTTTCAGAATTGGAAATATGTCCTTGGAATAGGATGTGTCTGCTCTCTCTCCTATCGCTCTCTCTCCTCTCTCGACTCTTTCTCTCTTCTCGCTCTCTACGCTGTCTCCCCTCTCTCTCTCCTCTCTCTTCTCTCCCCCTCTCTCTTCTCTTTCACCCTCTCTCCCCTTCTCTCCCCCTGTCTCCCCATCTCTACTCTCTCTCTCTTTCTCCTCTCTCCCTTTTTTTCCTCTCCCTCTCTCCTCTCTCCCTTTCTCTCTCTCCCTTCTCTCTCTCTTTTTTCTCACTCATCTCTTTCTCCCCTCAACTCGCTCTCTCTACTCTCTCTTTCCACTCTCTTTCTCTCTCTCTCTCATCTGTCCCTTCTCTCTCTCCCTCTCCTCTCTCTCGTCTCTCTCCTCTCTCAACTTTCTCTCCCCACTCTCTCCACCTCTCCTGTCTCTCTCATTTATCTTTTATCTCTCTTCTCTCGCCCTCTCTCTCTCTCTCTCTCTTTCTCTCTCTCTCTCTCTCTCTCTCTCTAGATTTTAAACTGCTGAGGAATATTTGGACATTTACAACCTGCAAGCAGATCATGCAGACTAGTGGTCCTTATAAGAGACGACTAGGTCTCCGATACACTCCTCGGAACTGGTGGAAATATTTTTCTTTTTAAAGTTTATGCTGTGTGGCGTTGGTAGTCATGTCTATCCACAACCTTCTGTCTCGTGTACTTTCAATCAACTCTGACACAGATGATTCTGCATGCCGTGTGGCGTTGGTAGTCATGTCTATCCACAACCTTCTGTCTCGTCTACTTTCAATCAACTCTGACACAGATGATCCTCCATGCCATGATGTCAGACTGTCCAGCATCTGTTCTCTTAATCTCTCTGCCTCTTTTCCCATCCAACTCTTCCCTGCCACACGTTGTACTCGTTTTCTTATATATATATATATATATATATATATATATATATATATATATATATATATATATATATATATATATATATATATCAGCTTTTTTCTGATACGGCTATTCAAGTTCTATTGGAAGCATGTATTTTTCATTATTTCTCTTAGGCTTTTATTCTTCTGTCTGTTTTGTTATAACAATTAGGTCCAACTACTATTAATTAGCAGGACATAGTTTATGTAAACGCATCAAGAAAATGGTTACCTAGTCTTCCTTGGTGAGAGCCCACTTCAAGACAATAGTTACTCAGTCTTCGTTGGTAAGCGCCCACTTCAAGAAAATGGTTACCCAGTCTTCCTTGGTGAGAGCCCACTTCAAGAAAATGGTTACCTAGTCTTCCTTGGTGAGAGACTACTTCAAGAAAATGGTTGCCCAGTCTTCCTTGGTGAGAGCCTACTTCAGGAAATGGTTACCCAGTCTTCCTTGGTAAGCAGCCACTTCAAGAAATGGTTACCCAGTCTTCCTTAGTAAGCGCCCACTTTAAGAAATGGTTACCCAGTCTTCCTTGGTAAGCGCCTACTGCAAGAAAATGGTTACCCAGTCTTCCTTGGTAAGCGCCTACTGCAAGAAAATGGTTACCCAGTCTTCCTTGGTAAGCGCCCACTTCAAGAAAATTGTTAACCAGTCTTCCTTGGTGAGAGCCCACTTCAAGAAAATGGTTGCCCAGTCTTCCTTGGTGAGAGCCTACTTCAAGAAATGGTTACCCAGTCTTCCTTGGTAAGCGCCCACTTCAAGAAATGGTTACCCAGTCTTCCTTGGTAAGCGCCCACTTCAAGAAAATGGTTACCTAGTCTTCCTTGTTGAGAGCCCACTTCAAGAAAATGGTTACCCAGTCTTCCTTGGTAAGCGCCCACTTCAAGAAAATGGTTACCTAGTCTTCCTTGCTGAGAGCCCACTTCAAGAAAATGGTTACCTAGTCTTCCTTGGTAAGCGCCAACTTCAAGAAAATGGTTACCTAGTCTTCCTTAGTGAATGCCCACTTCAAGAAAATGGTTACCCAGCCTCCTTGGTGAGAGCCCACTTCAAGAAAATCGTTACCTAGTCTTCCTTGGTGAGAGCCCACTTAAAAAAATGGTTACCCAGTCTTTCTTGGTGGAAGAACACTTCAAGAAAATGGTTACTCAGTCTTCCTTGGAGAAAGAACATTTCAAGAAAATGGTTACCCAGTCTTCCTTGGTGAGAGCCCACTTAAAAAAATGGTTACTCAGTCTTCCTTGTTGGAAGAACACTTCAAGAAAACGTTTACCCAGTCTTCCTTGTTGGAAGAACACTTCAAGAAAATGATTACCCAGTCTTCTTTGTTGGAAGAACACTACAAGAAAAAAGTTACCCAGTCTTCCTTGGTGAAAGAACACTTCAAGAGTGGAAATTGTCCAGAACTTTAGGTAGCACTGAAGACAAATGTGGGTTACAAATGTGGGTTACAAATGCGGGTTACAAATGTGGGTTACAAATGTGGGTTACAAATGTAGGTTACAAAAAGAGACATACAAATAAGAATACATTCGTTAAAGAACCTTTCATAGCACAAGGTTATTTGTTGAAGTCAGGAGACATTATTTCAGCCCAGATAGAAAATGTTACTACAACATTAAGTCAGTACTGCTATGTGGAGCAGAAACATCGAGAACACCCCAGACAGTTACTAGCCAATTGTACACGTTCATTAACTGGTGCATGAACTAATATAAAGTCCTTAGGTGTAACGTATAGGCCGGTCCACAGTGGCTGCTGGGGGAGGATAAGTTACACAGATAAACGAGACATGACCTTGGAGCTAATATGCGACAGATCACCTAAAAACGGCTGCTGTTGTTCACCGTTTCCTAACCGATATCTCTGGTGTTTGACAAGATAGGCAGCACATACCTCAGCTGGCGTTCGACAAGATAGGCAGCACATACCTCAGCTGGTGTTCGACAAGATAGGCAGCACATACCTCAGCTGGTGTTTGACAAGATAGGCAGCACATACCTCAGCTGGTGTTTGACAAGATAGGCAACACATACCTCAGCTGGTGTTTGACAAGATAGGCAACACATACCTCAGCTGGTGTTTGACAAGATAGGCAACACATACCTCAGCTGGTGTTTGATAAGATAGGCAACACATACCTCAGCTGGTGTTTGACAAGATAGGCAGCACATACCTCAGCTGGTGTTTGACAAGATAGGCAGCACATACCTCAGCTGGTGTTTGACAAGATAGGCAGCACATACCTCAGCTGGTGTTTGACAAGATAGGCAGCACATACCTCAGCTGGTGTTTGATAAGATAGGCAGCACATACCTCAGCTGGTGTTTGATAAGATAGGCAACACATACCTCAGACTTGGCTCCGCCTAGCTGAAAGAAGTTTTGTTTCTGTGTCCTGTACTTGGAGAATTGGTCCTCCCAGGTCCCGTTGAAGAAGATGGCACTGACCAAAACCAACACGGTCCTTGAGTTGATAGAACCTGGTTTAATAGTTTCCAAATGTTTATTGTCAGTTTCCAGCTATTGATTTTCAAGTTTACAATATAAATTTTTCAATAGCCAAATAATAATTTTCACTTTCCCAAGTTTTAATAAAGTTAAGTTACCACATTAAAATTTTTAAATTGCTAGAGTACTGGAACAGAAAGACACACCAACATGTCAATTACAATCGAATGACTAGTGCTAAACAAAGACTGGCACGTTGGGACGGAAAGATTGATTCGTAATACCAGGTGCAAATTTGAGATTATTAGCAAATTATGACAAACCAGGTTTCTTTTAAGAAAAACAAAGAATATTTCATAGACTAAATCCATTTCATACGAGTGCTGAGGTACTACTCCAGACTAATTCTACTATACGGTAGTCTTCTTCTTCTTCTTCTTCTTCTTCATCTTCTTCTTCTTCTTCTTCTTCTTCTTCTTCTTCTTCTTCTTCTTCTTCTTCTTCTTCTTCTTCTTCTTCTTCTTCTTCTTCTTCTTCTTCTTCTTCTTCCTCCTCTTCGATCCTTCTGTCAGAAAACTTATATCAGGAGGCCGGTAGCCTTTATGAAAGCTATCGCGCAATCCATATCCTCTCGTGTACCATACAGTTTTGTCTTCGGTGTGGTTGGAAGAGGTCAGATGGCGTCTCTGTTGTCAGCATACAGTTGACAGTTTTGGATCACATGCTCAGCATTTTCGGGTGCCACGCTGCAGGGACACGTCTCCGTGTTTCCTACACCGAAAAATTTAAATCATGTTGACGAAATCTGTTGTGCCCAGTCCTTAGTCTGAAAATAATACACTGTCCCTCTCTAGAGAGGCGATAAAGCGAGTCTTGGGGAGAAAATCTGGTGTGGGTATCCAGCCACCTTTCTTGGAAACTAGACTGTATTAATGTTTTCGTCTCTTGAATTAATCTTTAAATATATGCGAAGCAATTAGGAAATGATTGGGGCCACGCAGATGTGGTTACTGAAATAAATGTTGCATATACTTTGGACAACTGGACTAACTGTCAGCGATTGCCTGGAAAATCCAATAAAATTGGAAGATTATAGGAAACTACAAGAAAGAGGCAAACAGTATTTGCTAACGTGATGAAATGGTAATTATTGGAGAACATCGTTATAACTGAAAGATCAGCCGTAGAAGAGGCAGAGACAGACAGAGACAAGAGATACTGGATAAACTAAGACTGGGTGTTGTATGGGGGAATATCATCAACAAAAGGACTCGGAATACTGGTGACTACAGTCATGAGAAAAGACACACACTGGGGAGCTTATTGTTATATCTTTTCGTAGTTCAATGCGCAGATTCTAAGTCTTGCATTTGCCTTCACATTCTAGGACTCACACTGCCCGCTCATTTTGAGGCTTACATTAGCGCCTACATTTTTGGGTCTTACATTGCCCACACTGATAAACTTACATTGTTCACACATTGATATTTAATTTGCCCACAACGTCAGTTTTTTTGTTGTGCCTCATGTGTCATTATAATTTTTAAATAAATGGTAAACTCACAACTGTGGTTGAAGCCACTTTTTTAGTACTGTTTATCTAATTAACATGAACTTATAGTCGGTGGATATCCAAGAATATGTTCTATTACTATTATATTCGAAATGAAGTAAGCATTTTTTGGTTGCTGTTCCAAGTGTCACATTGTAATGTGACTAATTCGTATCCTATGGTGACAATATCATTATCAGAAAAGGAAATACAAACCCACCTTTAGACAGAAGATCACTAATGAGGCCTTCAGTGTTTTCATTGACAAAATCATTGATGATCTTTTCTGGACCATCTACTGCGGCCAGGTCAAAGCTAGAGCTCTTGGCTAAATATTCGGACTGAACGTCTTTGACAAATTGCTCTTCTATGGGGATGTTGGGGTTGGCAAATATAGCGTTAGCTGTGTGGAGTTTTATACCATTGTTGGTGTTCAGCTGAAATAGAGCGGGGTTATATCTGACGTTTTACTGAGACAGTGACAAGAATAGGCAAGCAAAAAGGGAATTTTACACAGCAAATGACACTGTAAAATAAATCCTTGTTACTGTAGTTTAGAAAACGAATTGGTGCATGTTAAATAGAAACAGTTTTGAATGAGTGCGTTTGCTAGACATATTTTAAAAAAATAATAATAAAAGACAGCCAGTTGAGGTCTCGGAGATGAGCAAGTGAGTGAACTGAATGCATTTTAAAAAGTTAAAGCATAAAGATAAATTAATAAAAGCATTACAATTGTCATTTAAGTGTTTGTTATTTTATATATACTATGTGCAGTTGTTTGTTTATCCCACTTTTTAAGATTTCCAGCAGTCTATGATATTTTTAACGTGTGTCATGTGCATGGGTTCCTTATAATTGGCTACAGTGATATAAAAAAGACTATTCAGGTTACAGATTCATACCGTTTTAACGTGAGTCCAGCAAAATGTGCTATAGGACGCCCCGGGAACTACTGAACTTGCTTTAATTTGTCATTGTTTCACAACCGATGACTCGAGGTTAGAGATACCATGAGTCCTGGTCACGGCACCAAGTGTCAGCAGACTGATGCAGAGAAGGGTTACCACTATATACATAGGTGGGTGCAGAGGTGGGTTACCACAGTATACATAGGTGGGTGCAGGAATGGGTTATAACAATATACATAGGTTGGTGCAAAGATGGGCTACCACAATATACATAGGTGGGTGCAGACGTGGGTTATCACAGTATTTAGATGTGGGTGCAGATGTGGGTTAGCACAATATATAGAGGTGTGTGCAGAAGTAGGTTAAAAACCATGTATTATAAAGTCATACTTTTTAGTAGAATGATTACCTGAAGGATAAGGTCATGGTAGGCCTGATGGGCCGAGTTACCGGTCAAGTTCGTCAGTTCTAGTGCTGTTGACAACTCTGCAGAAGTCTCCCCACGAGCTCCCAGCGAGGTCATGGTCAGTGCCGAGTGGATACTGGCAGAAGTATTGGCAATTCAAAAGTCAGCGATTAGTCTGTGGTAATTTAAAACATACTTTTGGTGAAAGATATTTGAAGACTGTTCTCTCTCAAACAAATACTCAAACATACGTCTGTTCTCTCTAAAACAAGTACTAAAACACACGTCTGTTCTCTCTAAAACAAGTACTGAAACATATGTCTTTTCTCTCAATACAAGTACTAAAACATATGTCTGTTCTTTCTGAAATAAGTACTAAAACATACTTCTGTTCTCTCTAAAACAAGTACTAAAAGATACGTCTGTTCTCTCTAAAACAAGAACTAAAACATGCGTCTGTTCTCTCTAAAACAAGAACTAAAACCTACGTCTGTACTATGTAAAACAAGAACTAAAACATACGTCTGTACTATGTAAAACAAGAACTAAAACATACGTCTGTTCTCTCTAAAACAAGAACTAAAACCTACGTCTGTACTCTGTAAAACAAGAGCTTAAACATACCTGTAGGGTGAGTAGATGCTAGACTCGAGTTTTCCCTCCGCCAGTTTCTGGTACAGTTTCTGGGAGAAGCCTAACAACGCAGACGTCAGTAACTGGACATCGTCTGCTCGGGTCAGACTAGCGATGACCAGTAAACAGATGGAGGTCAAAGCTGGGTTCATGGTTGTTGTCTGGATGTAAAGGGAAATCGGGGAGGAGGGGGGGGGAAGCTAATTACAAGATCTGGTGGAATGTAATAGTCGAGAGCATGAAATTTGAAATAAAAAAACAACTAATATCATCAGATTAGTCTGTCCAAAGACTGGTGTTGAAATAGTATGTTCCCGTTATCAACTACTCTTTTCAGCTCAACATAACATCTCATCACCGACACTTCCAAGTCTTGTTGACTCTTTTTATTTACTCAGTGTTTCGAGGCCGTATTGTGGAGCATGTCACATCTGCATAATTATGTTTATTATTACTTTGTTTGGAATCATATCGAGTTTCATGACGCTATTAATGTGCATTTCCTGGTGTTCCTTTCAGTCTTTCGTCGTCGTTACCCGCTGGTGTACATCGTGACTTTATTTTACTTGGAGGTAAGAATGCAACAACTCGTTTACCTTACTGTTTGTGATTCATCAAATTTAAATATTTGTAGACACGGTACAAGCGATAGAGAAGAATGATATGTCAGCAAAAGATGTTTCATCCCATATGTCGACATTAAAGATGACATTAAAGGGAAAGCAGAGACAACACTCTGTCACAACAGAGGTTTATAACATTTGAACTTTCTGGAATATTTTGGCGATAATTTTTATACAACCAGCCTGGAATACCTTAACAAATGGGAAACTGGCTATGTCTGAGCTGAATCATCTCCGTGGGTCTTTTCCAGGGTTTATCTGGTTGGTCTGAAATTCAAATCAGCATTTCCATTATTCTGAACCAGTTAGTAAAAGCTAATATGCCTTCTAGTTCAGAAGACGAAACAACACTATTTGATCAGTGACAGTGTGCAAAAGAAATCATTTCACATATTTAAAAAAAGACAGGAAAGGAAAACAAAATGGTTTGTGCGGTGCAAGTGTTTAATTAGTAGAAAGAGGCACAATGCTGACCTAGTACATCTACACCTACCAAGGGGAAATACAAGGTCCGACAATTAATTAATTAGACTTATTCCATAAAAATTGAAATAATCAACAATTAAAGATATAACCTGAATTTTATTTAAAGTAAGCCCCTTGTGCATTGATATAGCAAGTGGCACGATCTAACAAACACTGGAACGACATCTGTAGTTCTTTTGTTACTATGGTTCATAAAGTCGATGTTACCGCCCTTTGGATCTCATCAATATCGTCAAAGAAGGGTCCTTTCAATGGTAACTTAAATTTTATGAATAGAAAATAATCACAGGGAATAGGGGGACTGGTTGAAAACACACACTTATTTTGGGGCATACAAATTCCTGTTCTGGTGATGTTTCGTGGGTACTCTACCCGCTGATGTTTTTGGTCATCGGACAACGAATGCGGTACAAACCTGCAAGCAACTTTTTTCTTGTCAAAATCTTGCACTAAAACTTTACGAAGGGTCTCTCTATTAACACCAAATTCATCTGCCATCATCCTGACAGCGAAACATCGATCTTCTTTATCCGTTCTATGACTTTTTGCAATGAGTTCATCCATCATTACAAATAGAAATTTGGCGTCAAGGTCTAATTGCATTAGTAATCATTCTACACCACTTTTGAATCGTGAAAATCTGTGCACCAGATAAACAATTATCCCAATAAACTTGTGACATCAATTCAACTGTCTCAGTAGCGTTTTTTTGAGTTTTAAACAGAATTTGATGTTAGCTTTTGCTCCATGCTGATTTCGTAACAATGCACATCTAACTAGTTTAATAAAATGGTGGCTTGTTTGTCGTCTGCTTATCAGGCGGCGATGCAAAGTTGCCAGATCATGGATGAAGGTTGCCTCTTTGGATTCCATGCTTTGCTTCATAGATAGCACTTCTGTCTTGGCCTCAATAAAAATCAGTCTCATTACTTAATTGTCGAACCTTGTATCGTGCTTGACTGTTTCAAAACTGGTTAGGTCACTGACAGTATCATTAACCAGTTGTCTTCGGTCACAGACAATATCATTGACCAGCTGTCTTCTGTCACAGACAATATCATTGACCAGTTGTCTTAGGTCACAGACAATATCATTGACCAGCTGTCTTCGGTCACAGACAATATCATTGACCAGCTGTCTTCGGTCACAGACAATATCATTGACCAGCTGTCTTCTGTCACAGACAATATCATTTACCAGCTGTCTTCTGTCACAGACAATATCATTGACCAGCTGTCTACGGTCACAGACAATATCATTGACCAGCTGTCTTCTGTCACAGACAATATCATTAACCAGTTGTCTTCTGTCACAGACAATATCATTGACCAGTTGTCTTCTGTCACAGACAATATCATTGACCAGTTGTCTTCGGTCACAGACAATATCATTGACCAGCTGTCTTCTGTCACAGACAATATCATTGACCAGCTGTCTTCTGTCACAAACAATATCATTGACCAGCTGTCTTCTGTCACAGACAATATCATTAAACAGCTGTCTTCTGTCACAGACAATATCATTGACCAGCTGTCTTCGGTCACAAACAAAATGATATACCAGTTGTCTTCTGTCACAGACAATATCATTAATAAGCTGTCTTCTGTCACAGACAATATCATTGACTATTTGTCTTCGGTCACAGACAATATCATTGACCAGCTGTCTTCTGTCACAGACAATATCATTGACCAGTTGTCTTCTGTCACAGACAATATCATTGACCAGCTGTCTTCTGTCACAAACAATATCATTGACCAGCTGTCTTCTGTCACAGACAATATCATAAACCAGCTGTCTTCTGTCGCAGACAATATCATTGACCAGCTGTCTTCGGTCACAAACAAAATGATTTACCAGTTGTCTTCTGTCGCAGACAATATCATTGACCAGCTGTCTTCGGTCACAAACAAAATGATATACCAGTTGTCTTCTGTCTCAGACAATATCATTAATAAGCTGTCTTCTGTCACAGACAATATCATTTACCAGCTGTCTTCGGTCACAGACAATATCATTGATAAGCTGTCTTCTGTCACAGACAATATAATTGACTAGTTGTCTTCTGTCACAGAATAGTGTTATATCAATTCCTTATTGTCTCGATGACTATTGTAATTTATGATGTCTCATAGTGTCTATGTTGAACAATCAAGGGCCATATTATTGACCGTTTCTGAGCCCAACATTTTGGGCTAAAAGGAGTTGAAGTAACAACAGCTTTGGATTGAAAGAGTTGAAGAACCTTGTGGGGACTTTTATGAAGTATCGATACTAAATAAAGCTGTTCTCACAAAGACTGGTTATTCTGATAAATACTTTCAGCATTCAGGACAGTTCTTAACGTCATTCTCAAGGACAGGTCAGGGAAGGGCAGATACAGTATTAACAACAACAACAACAACAATAAAAACAGTAATAATGTGGGCGGGCGGGGTTGATGTTACTGACTTGCGATGTTATGTTTTCAGCTTAAAATATGATGGTCACACATAAATAAAGTTGTGTAGAGGCATAATCGCCTGTGTTAAACAAGCTAGTCACACTTGAAAACTGAACACATACATCCATGATTTAACTAACCTTTGGACGTCGGTCCGTGAAGTTTAACAGATCGAAAAATAAAAGGACAGACTTCAACAAGCAAGTGTGTGGAACTTTCAAGTTGGTTTCTACTACAAGTGAAATAAATTTAACAGATAGGAGCCTGGGAAATTCGCTAGCTGGGCCAGTCACGACACAAACAACGGGTTGACAACATTGTGTAGCGAATCTACTTAAAGACGTTTTCAACTGTAGCCTGCACAACACTTGTTTATTTGTGCTATTTGTGTAGGCGATAATCAAGATCTACCTTATGTCATCAACTTCTGTCTTTACATATCTTGGCGTCAACATGTTCATTCCTATGGTAACGCTGTGTGTAGGGTCGAACTGACTTTACTCATTGGAGGAGCACCTGCAGGATGGGCAGTTGTTGTCAGTGGACTTATCGTTGCTTACATTGTATTTTCTTATCTAGACGTTGTATCTCTGAAAATATTTCTTTTCGGCGCAATTTCTGCTACTACGTTATGAAAATAGAACAGCCGATGCAGATTTAGAACAGCCACACCGTCTTTACAACCGTCCATCGATCCATTCAACCAGTCGGCTATCTGTTTAACACCAATTACCCACCTAATCAGCAATCCTTCCATCAAGTCAGCAAGCTATCCAATCACTAATCCAGACATCCGCCAGTCCAGCAAACTATCCAGTCAGCTAGTCTTGCCAGTCAACTATCCGCTCAGCTAGTCTTGTCAGCCAACCGTGCAACAACTCCAGTTAATTATTTTTGTAACAATCCATCTGTCTCTCAATCACTCAACTAACTTCACAGAACTAACCATCCTGTGAATTATTCATGCAACAACCCATATGTCTGTCACTCAACTAACTTCATAGAACTAACCATCCTGTAAATTATTCATGCAACAACCCATATGTCTGTCAGTCACTCAACTATCTTCACAGAACCAACCATCCAGTGAATTTACTCTATAACATCGACCCAGTCCCGCATCAAAATAACCAAGCGACTATCCCTGTTTTGCAACCACAAAACAACAAAGGCAACTATACATCCGCTTTACTACAACCACCTTACCAAACGTCTAGCAAACGCCTAAACAGTCTTGCGACATCCGTACTCAAGCTAACAAAAACGACGCCAGACAGTAATACATTCGTACTGAAGCTAAGAAAAACGACGTCAGACAGTAATACATTCGTAATGAAGCTAAGAAAAACGACGTCAGACAGTAATACATTCGTAATGAAGCTAAGAAAAACCTTGTCAGACAGTAATATATTCGTAATGAAGCTAAGAAAAATGACGCCAGGCAGTAATACGTTCGTACTTCTTCTTTCTTCTCGTTCACCGGCTGTAAACTCCGGCGAAAAGTTCTGGTTGTTCGTCCACTTCTGGACTGGAGTCCTGTTCCAGACCTGAGTGTTGCGTGTGCATCCGTTTGACAGATCTGTATTCAGACTGTTGGTTC